AACCAACTCACTGAGTACATACCACGCACCAGGACCAGTTTAAGCATGTATTAATACATGCACATGTGTTAACTCATTTAACCTTTACGTCAAGTCTATGAGATAAAATTATTTTCCTACTTCACCGATGAAGACACTAAAGCATAAAGTTAAGCATCGTGTCAAGTTCACACGGCTGGTAAATAGTAAAGCCAGTATCAAAGCCAGAGAGTCTGACTCCAGTCTGTATCCTTCTTCATCGTTATACACCGTAGCGGCCATTGCTGGAAAAGTATGAGTTAGTTTATATTTTCTGTCTACAGAAATGTCTCTGTAAACATTTTTTCCATGTAAAATGTTACTTTTTCTACTGGTAAAGTTGGAAGCTGTCAAAAAATTTATTCTGAGAGCCGGCTGTAACTGTGAAACAATTCAAATGAAATACTCCTATCATATTGTGATTTTCCCACTTGTGATCACGTAGATTTTCAATATGTAGATGAGATAGCAATGCCTATGGACAATGAGAGATTCAGATAAATTGCACCTTTATACTGAGTTCACATTTCACTACATGATTCAAGCAATCACAGTTTTTGCGAACAAAAAGAACACAACACAAAATGCAATCAGCCGGAAGAGTAGAATAATTATCCTAGTCTTGCAAACATGCTTCCAAAACCATTAGTCCCACAGAATATTCAGCTGGCTCCCCAACATTCCATTCCTTCTATTTCTACTCACCAATAACAATTCCTTTCAGCTATCCCACCTTCTTCTGGCTTTTCAGATAACTTAGCTATGAGAATATGGAAGAAACTGCACTCGGGTCTCACTGAATATCCCTCGAGCGCATCTATCCTGTGTAAACTACTGAGTGTCCAATATTTCAAAAAGATGGCTTCCAGACAAGCTCTGGACTCTTGGCAAAATCTGAATGTCTAAAAGATGCTGATATCTTCAACCTTATGGAGGGAAAACATGAATGGATTTTATTATAACTGAAATGTGAAACAGTCTAACCACCACCATAATTCCATTATAATTTGTTCACATTTTCTAGTACTTAAGGCCTATTTTAATATATGTCTTCAAATTTGATCATAGTATACCTTACCTATCACAACAGTATTATTGGCTACATGTTTACATAAGCTGGGCCCCTACTAATGCTTAGAAATCCACATGTTAATCTCTTACTGTTTTCTCAGGAGGCCTCCCAAGACAAATATTCTAACCTTCTCGATTTAAGATGCCAACATGTCCCCACCCTCAGCTTATGATCACGCATCTCACTTCAAGAGAATTTCAGTTTCGACACACGACAGCCACATCTTGCCTTTTTTCCATCCCAAATAACATCCACTCTTTTGGAATTATAAAAATACTCAATGTAAAAGAAAGCAGGAGGGGCGCCTGGGGTGGCTTAGTCATTTGGGCGTCCGACTTTGGCTCAGGTCATGATCTCCCAGTCTGTGAGTTCGAGCCCCACTGACAGCTCAGAACCTGGAGCCTGCTTTGGATTCTGTGTCTCCCTCTCTCTCTGCCCCTCCCCCACTCATGCTCACCTCTCTCTCTCTCTCTGAAAAATAAACATTAAAAAAAAATTTTTAAAGAAAGCAGGAGAAGAGAAATATAAAACAAAGAGCAGATGGGACAAGTACAAAACAGATACATATAAATGAAATAAAAGGGAAATATTACAATAGATCCTACATACATTGAAAGGTTAATAACTTCATGGAAATGCATGGGTGGATCAGTTTGTTAAGCTTCTGACTTTGGCTCAGGTCATGATCTCACAGTTCGAGACTTCAAGGCCCACATCAGGCTCTGCACTGGTGATGCAGAGCCTGCTTGGGATTTTTCTCTCTCTCCCTCTCTCTCTCTGTCCCTTCCCCACTTGACTCTCTGTCTCCCTCTCAAAATAAATAAACTTTTTTAAAAAGGCTAATAATATTATGCACACCTAGACATAAAAAACTTGGATAATTTAGATGAGAGAAGGGCAAAGTTTTTGAAAGACACAAACAAGTCAAATTTATTAAGGAAAACAGATATTCTGAATAGCCCTATAATCTACTCATGGGTAAAAATCTTCTTAAAAAAAAAAAAAAAAAA